AATGCACTCATTAATATCTATAACAAACTTATGATCATATTGTAGCCTTTATAATGTATATGCATTACCCTGACATGTAGCATTGTCATTTTGTAGTTCATAGCCATCATTACATGAGCAAATAAAACTATTATTCATATTAGTACAAATCTGATTACAGTTTGTTGTATTTTCTGAACAGAAATAAATCTCTATAAAACCACCTTAAAATATTACTATAATAATAAAATACAGTTTACTTTCACAAGTTCTTCCATCGTCACTTAGCCTGTAGCCAGGATAGCATGAACAATTCAAGAGGTCATTTTGACTATGACAAACTTGCTGGCAGACAAGAGGATCAGTGCTACAATTTCCTATACAAATCAATTTATTTTGCTACAGCAAAATTTTATACTAACGTGAGCACCCATGATTATCTCCATCAAGAGCATAGCCATCAGTTACATTGCATTCACAGTAATAAGATCCATCAGTATTTTTACAATGCTGTTCACATCCACCATTGTTACTTGCACACTCATTAATATCATAGCAACGATAGCCATAAGATAATCTGAATCCTGTTCTGCAACTACAATAATAACTCCCTTCTGTATTGTGACAATTTTGATAACATCTATTGCTATAACTTGAAGAACACTCATTCCTATCTGTGCTACAAAAGTAAATACAAGTTGCACAACAGTTGTACCTTCACATCTGTTAGTTGTAGTATCCCAATAATATCCAGACCAACAAGAGCAATAATAGCTTCCAACTGTGTTATGGCAGTGCTGTTGACAGCCACCGTTATTTGTTGAGCACTCATTAGTGTCTATGCAGTATCTTTGATTGCTTATAAGATGATATCCAGAATTGCAGTCACAGTAGTATGATCCAATAGTATTGATACAGATGTGGTTACAAGCATTGTTACCATTAGCACATTCATTGACATCTTTAAAATACTTGAACTTACATAGATCATGTAGTTTTACTTACCATCACACTGATGCCTGTCATGATTCAACACATAACTGTAGTTACAGAGGCAATAGTAATTACCATTAGTATTTACACAAGTATGTTCACATCCTCCATTATTAGTAAGACATTCATCAATATCAATACAGGTATGATTATCTGTGTCCAGCTCATACCCATTGTGACAACTGCAAGTGTAGCTTCCAAGAGTATTAGAACATAACTGATTACAACCTGATGTACCTTCACTGCACTCATCAATATCTATATGAGCAATACCCAAAGCAGATGAAGTGCTTTTTGACACACAAAGTGTATTCACCTGAACAAAATCTTTTCTTGTGTAACCTGTATCCAGTAAAACATGAACAATAGTAAGAACCATTTGTATTAGTGCAGTTGTGTTCACATCCTCCA